AAGGAAAAATAAAATCCTTTGCGAATAAGACTCAGAGATTTTGTCACCACCAGACATGCTTTAAGAGAGCTCCTGAAAGAGGCACTACACATAGAAAGAAACAACCAGTACCAGCCATTCAAAAATCACACTAAATGCTATAGAGCATCAACATAATGAAGAATCTACAACAACTAACAGGCAAAACAGCCAGCTAGCATCAAAATGGCAGTATCAAATTCACACATAACAATATTAACCCTAAATGTAAATGGACAAAATGCACCAATCAAAAGACACAGACTGGAAAATTGGATAAAAATCCAAAACCTATCAGTGTGCTGTATCCAGGAAACCCATCTCACATGCAAGGATACACAAAGGCTCAAAATAAAGGGATGGAGGAAGATTTACCAAGCAAATGGAGAGCAAAAAAAAGCAGGAGTTGCAATTCTCATCTCCGATAAAATAGACTTTAAAGCAACAAAGATCAAAAGGACAAAGAAGGCCATTACATAATGGTAAAAAAATCGATACAACAAGAAGAGCTAACTATCCTAAACATATACGGACCCAATACAGGAGCACCCAGATACATAAGGCAAGTTCTTAATGACTTACAAAGAGACTTAGACTCCCACACAATAATAGTGAGAGACTTTAACACTCCACTGTCAATATTAGACAGATCAACCAGACAGAAAATCAACAAGGATATCCAGGGCTTGAACTCAGACCTAGAGCAAGCAAACCTGATAGACATTTACAGAACTCTCCACCCCAAATCCACAGAATACACATTCTTCTCAGCACCACATCATACCTACTCTAAAATTGACAACATAATTGGAAGTAAAGCACTCCTCAGCAAATGCAAAACAACTGAAATCATAACAAACAGCCTCTCAGACCATAGTGCAATCAAGTTAGAACTCAGAATTCAGAAACCGACCCAGAACCGCACAGCTTCATGGAAACTGAACAACTGGCTCTTGAATGTTGACTGGATAAACAATGAAATGAAGGCAGATATAAAGAAGTTCTTTGAAACCAATGAGAACAAAGACACAACGTGCCAGAATCTCTGGGACACATTTAAAGCAGTCTCTAGAGGAAAGTATATAGCAATAAGTGCCCATATGAGGAGAATGGAGAGATCTAAAATTGACACCCTATCGTCAAAATTGAAAGAGCTAGAGGAGCAAGATCAAAAAAACTCAAAACCCAGCAGAAGACAAGAAATAACTAAGATCAGAGCTGAACTGAAGGAGATTGAGACACGAAAAACCCTTCAAAAAATCAATAAATCCAAGAGCTGGTTTTTTGAAAAGATCAACAAAATAGATAGACCACTAGCCAGATTGATTAAAAATAAAAGAGAGAACAACCAAATAGATGCAATAAAAAATGATAAAGGGGAAATCACCACAGATTCCACAGAAATTCAAACCATCATCAGAGAATATTACAAACAACTCTATGCACATAAACTAGTAAACCTGGAAGAAATGGATAAATTCCTGGACTCCTGTGTCCTCCCAAGCCTAAACCAGGAGGAAGCTGAAACTATGAATAGACCAATAACAAGGTCAGAAGTCGAGGCAGCAATTAAGAGCCTACCACACAAAAAAAGCCCATGTCCAGACGGGTTCACAGCCGAATTCTACCAGACACACAAATAGGAGCTGGTACCATTCCTTCTAAAACTATTTCAAACAATCCAAAAAGAGGGAATACTTCCCAAATCATTTTACGAGACCAACATCATTCTGATACCAAAACCCGGCAGAGACCCAACAAGAAAAGAAAACTTCAGGCCAATATCCATGATGAACATAGATGCAAAAATCTTCAATAAAATATTGGCAAGCCGAATGCAACAGCAAATCAAAAAACTTATTCACCATGATCAAGTAGAATTCATCCTGGGGATGCAAGGCTGGTTCAACATACGCAAGTCTATCAACGTAATTCACCACATAAACAGAACCAAAAACAAAAACCACATGATTATCTCAATCGACGCAGAGAAGGCATTTGACAAAATTCAACAGCCCTTTATGATAAAAACCCTCAATAAACTCGGTATCGATGGAACATATCTCAAAGTAATAAAAGCTATTTATGACAAACCAACAGCCAATATCATACTGAATGGGCAAAAACTGGAAGCATTCCCTTTGAAATCTGGCACTAGACAAGGATGCCCTCTTTCACCACTCCTATTCAATATAGTTCTGGAAGTTCTAGCCAGAGCAATCAGGCAAGAAAAAGAAATAAAGGGTATTCAAATAGGAAAGGTGGAAGCCAAATTGTCTCTATTTGCAGACGACATGATAGTATACCTAGAAGACCCCATTGCCTCAGCCCAAAAACTCCTGAAACTGATAAGCAACTTCAGCAAAGTCTCAGGATATAAAATCAATGTGCAAAAATCACAAGCATTCGTCTACACCAATAACAGACTAAAAGAAAGCCAAATCAAGAACAAACTGCCATTCACAATTGCTACAAAAAGAATAAAATACCTTGGAAGACAACTCACAAGGAACGTAAGGGGCCTCTTCAAGAAGAACTACAAACCACTGCTCAACGAAATCAGAGAGGACACAAACAGATGGAGAAACATTCCATGTTCATGGTTAGGAAGAATTAATATCGTGAAAATGGCTATACTGCCCAAAGTAATTTACAGAATCAATGCTATCCCCATCAAGCTACCATTGACTTTCTTCACAGAACTCGAAAAAACCACCTTAAACTTCATATGGAACCAAAAGAGAGCCCGCATAGCCAAGTCAATTCGAAGCAAAAAGAACACAGCAGGGGGGCATCACACTACCGGATTTCAAACTATACTACAAGGCTACAGTAATCAAAACAGCATGGTACTGGTACCAAAACAGAAATATAGACCAATGGAACAAAACACAGGCATCGGAGGCAACACAACCTATCTACAACCATACAATCTTTGATAAACCTGACAAAAACAAGCAACGGGGAAAGGATTCCTTGTTTAACAAATGGTGTTGGGAAAACTGGCTAGCCACGTGCAGAAGCAGAAACTGGACCCCTTCCTGACACCTTACACTAAAATTAACTCCAGATGGAATAAAGACTTAAACATAAGACCTGGCACCATAAAAACCCTAGAAGGAAATCTAGGCAAAACCATCCAGGACATAGGAGTAGGCAAGGACTTCATGAACAAAACACCAAAAGCATTGGCAACAAAAGCCAAAATAGACAAATGGGACCTAATCAAACTCCACAGCTTCTGCACAGCAAAAGAAACAGTCACTAGAGTGAATCGGCAACCAAGAGAATGGGAAAAAATTTTTGCAGTTTACCCATCTGACAAAGAGCTGATATCCAGAATTTACAAAGAACTCAAACAGATTTACAGAAAAAAAACAAACAAGCCCATTCAAAATTGGGCAAAGGATATGAACAGACACTTTACGAAAGAAGACATATATGAGGCCAACAATCATGAAAAAATGCTCATCACTGGTCATCAGAGAGATGCAAATCAAAACCACATTGAGATACCATCTATGCCAGTTAGAATGGCCATCAGTAAAAAATTTGGAGACAACAGATGCTGGAGAGGTTGTGGAGAAAAAGGAACACTTTTACACAGTTGGTGGGAGTGTAAATTAGTTCACTGTATTCATTGTGGAATACAGTGTGGCGATTCCTCAAGGCCTTAGGAATAGAAATTCCATTTGACCCAGCAATCCCATTACTGGATATATATCCAAAGGACTATAAATCGTTCTACTATAAGGACACATGCACATGAATGTTCATTGCAGCACTGTTTACAATAGCAAAGACCTGGAGTCAACCCAAATGCCCATTGATGATAGACTGGATTGGGAAAATGTGGCACATATACATCATGGAATATTATGCAGCAATCAGAAATGATGAGCTTGTGTCGTTTGTAGGGACATGGATGAATCTGGAGAACATCATTCTCAGCAAACTGACACAAGAACAGAAAATGAAATACCGCATCTTCTCACTCATAGGCGGGTGATGAAAAATGAGAACACATGGACACAGGGAGGGGAGTACTACACACTGGGGTCTATTGGGGGGAAAAGGGGAGGGCCAGTGGGGGGGAGCTGGGGAGGGATAGCCTGGGGAGAAATGCCAAATGTGGGTGAAGGGGAGAAAGGAAGCAAAACACACTGCCATGTGTGTACCTATGCAACTGTCTTGCACGTTCTGCACATGTACCCCAAAACCTAAAATGCAATAAAAAATAAATAAATAAAAAGTACAAGAACATAGAATGTACTCATTCCTTTATATCTAACAGCTGCATAGGATAGGCCTTCACAAAAAGCTATTAGCAAAAAGTGAGAAGGCTTTAAAGGAAGTCTTTAGAAGAAACGATTATTTCTAACATTTATTGTTTATTATTTAATAAGAAGGGAAACTTTGAAGAGGAACTTTTTATTTTCCACACTTTCTACTAATAGTAACTCTTTCAACCAATTTTTAAAGTACCTATGAGCTGGAAGCCCCCTACCCTACCAGATCAAACCAATGAAAATCTTACATGTATTAATTGATGTCTCATTTCTCCCTAAAATGTATAAAACCAGCCAGGCATGATGGCTCACACCTGTAATCCCAGCACTTTGGGAGGCTGAGGCAGGTGATCACGAGGTCAGGAGTTCCAGACCAGCCTGGCCAACATGGTGAAACCCGTCTCTACTAAAAATACAAAAATTAGCCAGGCATGGTGGCAGGCTTCTGTAATCCCAGCTACTCTGGAGACTGAGGCAGGAGAATCACTTGAACCCAGAAGGCACAGGTTGCAGTGAGCCAAGATCAAGCCACTGCACTTCCAGTCTGAGCCTAAATGCACCTGAGAAAGGGATCTCTTGGGACATTCTCTTCCTGGGCAGAAGCGATCCTTCCACCTCGGCCTCCCAAAGTGCTGGGTTTATAGGCATTCAGGTTTTTAAAAAACTGATGGTGTTAAATAAAGACGAGACAAATTAGTTTCCATTTTTATTAAAGTTGTTGTTTTCAGGAACATATTACACTTAACGTTCAATACCATAAATATTAGTTCTTAAATCTTCTACTTTACTTATTAAAAATGTAAACATAAAACAATTAACCACTCCCTCCCCAACCCAATATATATTTAAAAATATTCTGCCTTTCAGGTTAAGTTCTTTTCTTCAGAATGAGTAAAACAGACTTTATTAAAATCCTGTTAGTCCTCCTGGGCTGAGAGGACATGACAGGAATGACTAGTGTCCACTGTGACATGGTCCATGGTGCTGTGACTGAGGTCCATCTCCTCCTGCCATGATTACTCATGTGCCCTGAGAGACAGGCTCCTCTCCGTCCATTCAGTGTCCAAGGACTTGGACAGCAGTAAGGCATCAAGCACAAGACACTGTGACAAACACAACACACACGACAGCGTATACCCCTGGAGCAGGCCACAGCCAGCAGAGACAGCAATTCTGGATGAGTGTTAGGATATTAGAGATAGAAGGATTCTGAAAGACTGCCTAGTTGTTTCACAGATGGCCTCAACTAGTAAATCTTCTAATGCTAGAGAAAACATTGATACAATTCTATGGAATACTTTGATATATTCATTTATCTTCCTAAAACTATTTAAACCTCGTAAAATTATGTTTTAACATCAACTATCGATACATGTTAAGCCTAGATAGGCTGAAAACTAATTGCAAGCATAATTTATAACGTTTTAGAATTACTGTTTGGTCGCAAGAAAAATAAGTATCCTATAGGAAAAATGTTACTGATTTTAAGATCTAACGGTGAGGATGTCTTTCAGGAGAATATTAGAAGGATCTGCATTAGGACGACCTGTTTGCCAGTTGCTTGAACGCTCTCAGCTGAAGGCTACTGACATGGCTTTTGCTTCCTTCCTGTAAATTTTGTTCCTGAAAACCTGAGACAAATTCACTTGATATTTTTGACAACTGGGATCTTAAAATGATCAAAATGAGCCTAAGTCTGAACTGAAAACTGAGGTAGTCAGTTTTTATAAGTACTTGACCCTTTTTGAGTCAGAAAGTGACTCCAGTCTACTGACCCCAGATCGCTGCTCCCCATTCCTTCCCTGCATCCCCTCACTTCCACTATGCCTGCAGCCTGCTCAGCCCATTGCTCTTACACAGGGATGTGGCTTTGTCTCTGCTAACATGAAGGGTATAACCTGACACAGGATACCAATGCATAGGCCATTTCACATTCTTCACTTTGCACCTGAATTTTATACCAATAATTATGTTACATCTCGGATTCTAAAAGTCTGCTTCACCGTCATTTTTTTTCCCCAAGAAAGAATCTCGCTCTGTCATCCAGGCTGTAGTGCAGTGGTGTGATCAGCTCACTGTAACCTTCAAATCCTGGCCTCAGTGATCCGCCTGCCTTGGCCTCCCAAAGTGCTGAGATTATGGGGGTGAGTCACCAAGCCCAGCCACTGTCATATTCTAAGTGACAAAAACGTGCCTCTTAAAATCTCTTACAAGTTCAGTGTCCTACGTCTTGCTGGGTACACTATGCAGAATCAATGATAAGTAATCACATTCAAGCCTTACAGAAAAGGATGGGAGACATCAACACAGTTACCCTCGGGAACTCCAGACTTCTTGACACCACACTTTATCAAGTTTCACATTTGTCCAGAGAAGACACTGGGCTACCAGGTTCCAAGCTTAATAAATATATATACAAAAATGTCATCTATATTTTCTCCAGAAAGCCATTAGTGCAAATATAATTATATCAATAAAAAATAAAGCAAAAATATATTTCAAGTATAAAAAGCACCATGCTCAGAAACAATACTACCTAAGTCGTATCACTGCTCAACAGTCAAATATAGTCAACCTATCACTGTGAATCTCAAATATATTATTAATTCATTGTATTTTTGGTAAAATGCTGTATCCAACTTTGCAGGATGATTCATAATTATAATAAGCATATGTTTAGACTATTATGTTTCTTTAAAAATATACTCTTTGCTTTTGACTTTGCACAACAGAAAGTATGTACAACATAGGCAGAAAATGAGCACTGGCCTGCAGACCATTACTACAGATTGAGTATCACTTATTGAAATGCTTGGGACCAGAAGTGTTTCAGATTTCAGACTTTTTTTTGGATTTGTGATATTTACAAATACCTAATGAGGCACGTTGGGCATGGGACTCAAGTCTAAACATGAAATTCATGTTTTGAATATATCTAGACACACTGCCTGAAGGTAATTTTGTACAATATTTTTAATAGTTTGTGCATAAAACAAAGTTTGTGTTAAGTACTTTTATGTGGAATCTTCCACTTGTGGTATCATGTCAGCATTCAAAAATTTTCAGATTTTGGAGGAATTTGGATTTCAGAGTTTTGGATTAGGAATGCTCAACCTGTGTTAGCTTCTCTTTAGCTAAGTTAACTATGTTTGAGACTCCCAGCTTTTCACAATGACAAATACCTCTGATTTAAAACTGCATGCAAATACTTACTTTAAATTTATGCATTTGAAAAAAAGTGACTTTCCTCTATGCTGGGGTTGCTGTTGGCTCTAGTGCCAAATAATCAGAATTAATCCTTAGTAATTATGCTGCTTTGCTCACTTACCATAATTTCTTCAATGGAGTATTCAATAGCTATATGCTGAATGGAAGAAAAGGAGGGAAGGAGGGAGGAGAGGAGGAACAGAGGGGAAGTCTGTCCGAGGGTTGTTTTTATAGTGACGTAGGACTCCGTTAGCCTGAGAGAGAAAGAATGGGCATCACCTATCATTAATGAATTTTTTTTCTTTTATCTTTTCACATTCATATTAAACCTCATCTGGACATTAATGAATTTCAAATACAATTACTAAATGGTATTGGTAAGCTCTAGTACCAGAGTAAAATTGCTTCTGGGGACCGGAATCTATGTATTAATAGGAGGGGTGTCAAATGCAGGAGGTAGCGGATACTTATTTTGGGGGTGGAGGGGATGAAGTTTCTTGTCACCCACGCTGAAGTACAGTGGTGCGATCTCGGCTCACTGCAACCTTCGCCTACCAGGTTCAAGCAATTCTCCTGCCTCAGTCTTCTGAGTAGCTGGATTATAGGAACCCACCACCACACCCAGGCATGCCCAGGTAATTTCTGTATCTTTAGTAATGATGGGGTTTCATCATGTTGGCCACGCTGGTCTTGAACTCCTGACCTCAGGAGATCCACCCGCCTCGGCCTCCCAAAGTGCTGGGATTACAGGTGTGAGCCAATGCACCTGGCCGGTAAAGGATATTTAAAGCAAAAGCAATCTTCCAGCTTCTGTGGACTGAGTCTTGTGTTAAGTGGTACAATGGACACTATTGGTTAGGCCAAACTTGTAGGTGGCTATTAGTACACAATTCAGATCATCTTGTTTTAACTTATATTTTCCTTCTTATACATAAAATCATTTTCAGATGTTAGAAATTCTTCTGCAACAATTTCTTAACCAACTTTTAAAAACTGCATACCTGTGTATCCCAGAATTTCTTTTTCTTTTTGAGACGGAGTTTCACTTGTTACCCTGGCTGGAGTGCAATGGCGCGATCTCGGCTCACTGCAACCTCCACCTCCTGGGTCCAGGCAATTCTCCTGCCTCAGCCTCCCGAGTAGCTGGGATTACAGGCGCGCACCACCATGCCCAGCTAATTTTTTGTATTTTTAGTAGAAACGGGGTTTCACCATGTTGACCAGGACGGTCTCAATCTCTTGACCTCGTGATCCACCCGCTCGGCCTCCAAAAGTGCTGAGATTACAGGCGTGAGCCACCGCGCCCGGCCCAGAATTTCTTTTTATCTTCATCAGTCACAAAGGAATAGTTCTTTCTGACTGATCAGTTGTCATAAGCATTATCTAAAAAAATACAATTATGTTTTCTCCTGTTTGCATGTCTTCAGTGTTTTTACAGGACAGAGTATTTTATTCTCTCTGCTTCTACATTTTTTCATGTCATTGTTAACCTAATGGAGAATACAACTGGAAGCTGAGCCCTGAAGAGGGATGAATACAAGGCTACCAGCACACTGACCACAGTTCTGCCGTAAACTTCCACACAGCTGGCAAAAAGGGCAAGCACAATTAAATCATAAGATTTAACCAAACATATAGAACCAAACAATGGGAACAGTGACTTAAGTTTACTATATGCAGCCATTAATTTTTTTTTTTTTTTTTTAAGATACAGGGTCTCAGTCTATTGCTCAGGCTAGAATACAGTAGTGTGATCATAGCTCTCTGCAGCCATGAACTCCTGGGATCAAGTGATCCTCCTGCCTCAGCCTCCCAAGTAGCTGGAACTACAGGCACCACCATGCCCAGCTGCCATTAAATTTAAAATAGGTGTAGAAATCTCAATTCAATTATTTCCTATAAATCAAAGGACAATTTACACTTTTGAGGACAAGATCTCCAATTCTTCTTGCAATAATTGGCTGTCGTTTCAATTACTGCAGTATGGATGACGAACTTTCCCATTGTTTTATGTTGATAAAAATGTTGAGGTATGTAATCACTCTGAAAATTCCACCCTTTATCCTATTTTCAAAAGAAAACATTAGGAGACTACAAATCCTGAAACATAAAGAGACTTGGTGCCTTGCAATTCCTTCTGCTTCTTCAAGATGAGGTGGTTGGGTTGCAGGTGAGGCGAGACTGCTGTGAAGTTTTGCTTCAAGGTCTGATTATAGTCAACTCTTTCAAGCCAAAGTCAGGAATGCCACTTCTGCCATCTGCATAGGTTGGCACTTGCTCAGATTTTGTGCTTTGTTCACAGGAACATAACATAAAAGAATATCTTGAAAATCCACTTTCCATTCCTAGTGCCATACACACAGAAGAAATCCAGCCAGCAGAGGAAAGAGATTGCCTAGCAGAAGCCAGAGGGTGGCAACCAGGCTTGAGGAACAGGAGCAAAGATCTAGAGTCAAAAATAAAAAACTGACTTTTTACAGACATTTTGGGTATATTATACCAATTACATATTGACATATAAACAGCAGTGATTATCAAAAGGTAAACAGGGACCATCTCGAGAGCTAAATCAAGAGCAAAACCCAGATATTAAAAAAGGCTTTTTTAATGGAGGAAAAATACGTTTGGAGGAAGAAATGATGTATCCACCATGTCAAGGTTAAAAAACGGTATAAAAAATTGTCTTGGGGTAGTACGCCAGCAAAGCTAAAGATAATACTCAAAGAGTGTAAATTAGCATCTTGGTTATTCTGAGATGGGGGAGAAACATTCTTCTTTTATTCTTTCTACCTTCTACGTAGAGTGACCATATAATTTATCAACCCAAACAAGCACATTTTGAGAACACAAGGGAAAGTACTATTAATAATGGCAACAGGCATATGGACAGTCTCAGGCGGACTAGGACATATGGTCCCGTATTTCTAAATATCTATTCATCCATTCATATCACCAGTCGATCAGGCTTGATTTTGAAACAGCAGAAGATTCTATAGATTTTGGGCACTAGGGGTATATTTTAATTCAGCTGTGAGGTATCCTCATAGGTAAATTATTTCCCAGAACAGTTCTCATAATGGGAATATTTTAATAGCAGTAGGGAGATGAGGCCAACCTGACCTTATTTTAGGATGAGTTGTCCTTTTAAACATTTTAAACAATAAAGATGGGCATTTATTTATTTATTTATTTATTTGAGACAGAGTCTCATTCTATTGCCCAGGCTGGAGTACAGTGGTGCAATCTTGGCTCTGCCTCCCAGGTTCAAGTGATTCTCCTGCCTCAGCTTCCTGAGTAGCTGGGATTATAGGCATGTGCCATCATGTGTGGCTAACTTTTGTATTTTTAGTAGAGATGGGTTTTCACCCTGTTGGCCAGGTTGCTCTTGAACTCCTGGTCTCAAGTGATCCACCTTCCTTGACCTAAGATTTTATATAAAATAATTCATTGTGTCATTATGATTGTAACTGCAGAAGACAAAGCTGACTCACTTGGAGTACTGTGTAGAAAAGGGTTAACATAGCAGGCCTGAGACTGCTATCTTTAGAAAGTTCTGCTTTCAAGGAGGGCCTTTGCTAGTGTCTGGAAACTGGTTTCCACAGGACTTTGCCCCATGCACCTCTTCCCTTTGCTGATTTTGCTTTGCATCATTTCACTTTAACAAATCTCAGCCATGAGTACTATGATGAGCAGCTGAGTCCTGTGAGTCCTTCTGGTGAACCTGTTGTGCTGGAACGAGCATAGAAAGTCAACAAGACAAAAGTATGCCAAATTGTAGGGTCTTTATTGCCGGTGACCATGGAGGACTCGCGTCTCTCCCACCTGTGGCCCCGAAAGGAGGGTGCTAAGACCTCTTATGCCCGTAAAGCACCTCAGGGGTGAGGGTTAGCGGCAGGGGTGGGGATGAGGGTGAGGGGCTTCAGACATTCCCAGGGCCAGTGGATTCCGTAAATCACCTCCTGGGCGGAGATAAGGGTGAGGGGCTCCGGACGTTCCCAGGGCTAGGGGACTTTTATCACTCCGATTGTTACTTAAGTGGGTTACAGAAGTTAAGATAAGCGTTAGTTTACACATTGTCTGGGTATGGGTGGAAATTACAGACCTTAGTTACTTATTACAAGTCGCAGGGGCCAAGATGGCGTGGGTTTGGACTGCTTGCCTGTCACATTAGGGTTACAGAGGGCAGTTTCAACACAAAGCCAAGGTATGCTTGAGGTATGCAGGTTTATGGGGCTTTTACCATGTCACAAACCAACCAACTTAGGGTGCTCCTAGGGATCCCCAACACAAGCATTCATCTTCCAGAACTCATCCTCTGCCTACAGTCCCCTGGGGAATGAAGTCCTCAGGATATGGAAAAGAAGGGAAATTAATCTTAGAAGTGGAGAAACTGACTTGAAAACTGAGTGTGCCCCTCTATTTTCAGTCACAGCATGGACCAGGCCAAGGGCAATGCACTTCCACCTAAAAAATACCTCTTGTTGAGAAAATGAAACATTGCATATAAGATTGTTATTATTCATAATATAAAATGTCAAACTGCCATAAAAATCTCACAGGTCATTTAAATACAAGCTTTAATCGTGAATTCATGAACTCTGCTTTTATACTCTCAGCAATGCGTTATCAGCCGTCAGTTTTGTGGGGAATGCATTCTTCCCAAGGATGTGCTCTGTATCCCCCTCCTGTTTCTAAAGGATTTAATTGGAATCTGTCTCCTTATAGCGTGAATCTCTTGGTGCCAGTTCTGTTCTCTGGAGTCTCACAGAATGAGCACACCGTCCTATTCCTCCATGAAACCCCCGGCCTTTGCCAGCCCATGTCTTTCAGTCTCATTTTGCATGTGTGTATTTGTGTCTCCTTGCATCTTTCTCCTCTTTGTGAGGATGCCAGTTCCCTTTTTGTATGTCTTTTCCAGGTCTTTCCCTCACTTTCACTTCAGCTGATTATAATACAACTAAGATATATTTAATCACTTTTTGTATTTAATGAGAATTTTGTTTACCCTTAATTTCCAAATGAATGGATACAACATTCACATTTTATTATCTTTGATAAATAATTTTGTACGACTCAGATGTTCTTCACACAGAAAGGTTCCTCATCCTTGCTCTTACTCAAGTGTCAAGTCAACCTATCTTAGATTTCCAATAACGGTGGGAAGGGGGATTTTCCCATAAAACTGCAATCCAAAGAGAAGAAACTCAACTTGTCTTAGAGCTTCCTTAAAGGGAAATTTCAACATTTTATAAGAGAAGTTTGCCCCCTTTACTTTTTCCTCTCTATCTCAACCATAGAGAATACTCACCCAGTGGCAGAGCTCGGGTCAGGTTAGCAGCTGGAGGATCTGTTTCAGGAGGACAGACCTCACAGAAGTCCCAACACGATGGGCAGAGCAGGTTTCCATCGTGAATCCAGCCATTCATCTGAATACTGACTGGGAGGACTTGCCCAGCCCGACTACACAGATATGAAGTATCTTGGACCCAAACCTTCAGACCTTGAGAAGAACAAGAAACCTACAAATAGAAAAAAATTTTTCTTAAATCAGGTCAGTAAGATTCTAGAATATGAGATTTCTCCTTCAACTACAGGAAAATATGTTAAAATTGACTAAAAACATTGGCTACAAAGCACAATTTGGAGTGTGGGCATATCTTTAACGTCAAATAAAGAGGGTTAAGTTATTCAGGTTCTAAAAGAATCACACTCTGGTAGCAGAATTGTTAAAGTTTGAGTGTAGCACCTTTTTAAGAATCTAATGGAAGCTATGGGCACTTTTCCCAAAAATTACAAGACGGCATACATACAGAGCTTTTTTTGTTTGTTTTTTTGAGACAGGGTCTCGCTCTGTTGCCCAGGCTGGAATACAGTGACAATCTCAGCTCACTCAGCATTGACTACCCCAGGCTCAGGTGATCCTCCCACCTCAGCCTCCTGACTGAATAGCTGGGACTACAGGCATGTGCCACTATGCCTGGCTAATTTTTGTATTTTCTTGTATAGATGGGGTTTGGGTTTTGTCATGCTGCCCAGGTTGGTCTCTAATTCCTGGCTCAAGTGATCCACCCACCTAAGCCCCCCAAAGTGCTGGGATTATAGGTATGAATCACTGCACCAAGCCTACACAGAGCTTTAAATACAATTTGAATCCACAGATTCCCACAAAGCTAAGTTGTAAATAACGTTACTGTAAATTCCAGTGGCCTCATATACTTCAACTTAAATCTCTATCAAACAGTCATTAATCACATTACTCTCTTTAAAAGTCACTAAATTTTCCAAATTAAAAAAAAAAGTTTTTTTAAGAGGCAAGGTCTTGCTCCATCACCCAAGCTGGAGTGTAGGGATGCAATCATAGTTCACTGCAGCCTTATACTCCTGGGCTTAAGTAATCTTCCTCCCTCAGCCTCCCAAGCAGCTGGGACTACAGGTGCATGCCACCATACCCGGCTGATTTTAAAAATATTTTGTAGAGAGAGGGTCTCACTATGTTGCCCAGGCTGGTCTCAAACTCCTGGGCTCAAGTGATTCCCCCAGGCTTGGTCTCCCAAAGTGATAGGATTAAAGGTGTGAACCACTGTGTCTGGCCATAAGTCAAATTTTATTTGGGGTTTGAAATTATAAAAATAATACATGTTTATTAAAAACAAACAAGAATACAGCATAGAAATGCAAAACAGTAAAAGTTCTTTATTCTCTCCCCCTACCCCAAATCCTTGGCTGAGTCATAGTAATTTTATCCAGACTTTGCTTTTAAAGGCAAGACTCTTATCTCATCTGCAAGTGGCAGCTAATGAGATCAGTTTTTAAAACCGAAAGCAAACACACTAACTTTTAAAACATTTAGAAATAGCAATTTTTTTATTTAAATTTAAATTTTTTTTTGAGACCAAGTCTCACTCTGTTGTCCAGGCTGGAGTTCAGTGGCGTGATCTTGGCTCACTGCAACCTCTGCCTCCTGGGTTCAAGCAATTCCTGCCTCAGCCTCCTAAGTAGGTGGGACTACAGGTATGTGCCACCACAGCCAGCTAATTTTTCTGTTTTTAGTGGAGACAGGGTTTCACCATGTTGCCCAGGCTGGTCTTGAAAGTCCTGACCTCAGGTGATCCACCCGCCTTGGCCTCCCAAAGTGCTAGGATTACAGGTGTGAGCCACCGCGTCCAGCCTAGAGATGAGAATTATATGAAAGCATTGAAAGGACAAGAGAAAAACTCCCTTGCTGAAGTGGAAGTATTACCAGTGTGGAATTCTGGGAATTAAGTGTGGGCAGGAGGGTAGATGTACAAGTAGTAGCAGACATAACATACTCAAGAAAGCTGAGTCAAACTCCAGCCACAAAAAAAGCCAAGAAGAAACCTGCTTTGCATTGCAGAACACAAAGGTGGCTCAGGACTGCCTGCACCCGGCACAATGAAGTGAGAGCTACAATTCAAAGGATTAACATCTATTTCAGAAACAGACCCCAGCATTCTTCTCCCTCACTATAAGCAGCTAAACCTGTTTCTTCCAAACCCAGCTGATACAGTTTGGAAATTTGCCCACTCCAAATCTTCTGTTGAAATGTGATTCCCAATGTTGGAGGCGCGGCCTAGTGGGAGGTTTTTGGGTCATGGGGACAGATCCCTCATTAATAGCTTAGTGTCCTCCCCTCAGTAGTAACTTCCCCGGATATCTGGTTGTGAAAGAGATCAGGACCTCCCTCCTCCCTCTTGTTTCCTCTCTATGTGACAAGCCTGCTCCCACTCTGCCTTCTGCCATGATTATAAGCTTCCTGAGGCTGTCACCAGAAGCTGATGCCACCACTATGTGTCTCGTAGTCTGCAGAACCATAAGTCAAAATAAACCTCTTTTCTTTATAAATTAACCAGCTTGATATTCCTTTATAGCAACACGAAATACTGGAGATTTATTTTTTGGAAAGGGTAAAACAGAGTTTTTCTGTTCTGGGGGAAAGCAAGTACAGGTAAGAGTGGGGATGCCATCATGAAAATAAGGACTCTAAGTTTAGAGGTTAAATATTGAGACTACTCAGCATTCAAAATCTACTTAGTTCCTAGAACTCTGAGAGCTGTGCATATAAATTCAAGGCGAATACTGGCAGTTTCTCTGACAAGTCTGACCGGTCAAAAGGGAAACCCCTCAAGACACAAATATCAAAGGTTTTGTATGGAAAAAGCCCTAAAGTGAAGACCACAGTCAACAAGCCCTATGTGCATACTCAGAGCTTCAAACTGGCTTCCAGTAACTTCATTTTTTTTAGATGGAGTCTCACTCTGTCGCCCAAGATGGAGTGCAATGGCATCATCTCAGCTCACTGCAACCTCCACCTTCTGGGTTCAAGTGATGTTCATGCCTCGGCCTCCTGTATAGCTGGGATTACAGGCACCCGCCACCACACCTGGCTAATTTTTGTATTTTTAGTAGATGAGGGGTTTCAACAAGTTGTCCAGGCTGCTCTCAAACTGCTAACAGAGGCAGGAGGATCAGTTGAGGCCAGGAGTTTGAGACCAGCCTGAACAACAAGGAGAAACCCTGTCCCTACTATCAATACAAAAATTAGCTGGGTGTGGTGGCACATGCCTGTGATTCCAGCTGTGCAGGAGACTGAGGCACAAGAATCGCTGGAATCCAGGAGGTGGAGGTTGCAGTGAGTTGAGATCATGCCACTGCACTCCAGCCTGGGTGACAGAGTGAGACTCTGTCTCACAAAACAAAAAAGAAGGAGGAGGACTCAAGATGGCACTGTGAGAACAACCCAGGATTGGAGTTCTCGTTGTGTCCGCGGAGAGGTGAGTCTGAGCTGCATTTCCAGACTGATCTTTGTTGCCCACGGAACGGGGAAATTCCCAAGTGAAGAGGAGACGAGGGACGCCAGGCAGATATTCTGCCTGGTGAAGCCAGCAGCCGGGGTGGAGGCAGCCGGCCCTACCCAGGGCTCCCCACAGGGCGCGCTTGTCCGGGTACCCCGTTGAACCGGCAACCGGAGACGTGAGAGGGCTGGACTTGATACTGAGCTAGACTTGGACAGTGGGCCAAGCCAGGAGATTGCAGGGACAGAGCGTTAGGGCTGGCCCAGTGGGTCGAACAAAACCGCGATTTCAAACAAGCCCCATGCAGATGGCCCGAGACGCTCTGAGGGGGAGGGGCGGCCACCATTACCGAGGCAACCCGCCCCAACTGAGATACACGCCCATTGCTGACGCAGCCAGCCGTTGCGGAGGCAACCCGCTACAACAGAGAGACTCCGCTGCAGGGCGTAGCGGAGAACAGCAGAACAGCAGAGCCAGGGCGAGCCTCACAACAGCAGGGCGGAGCCTTGGCAGGCAAACAGTGGCTAGTCTGCGTCCTAGCTGGGCAGGACCTCAATGGACATCCAAAAATAAAGCCCAAACCCCTCAACACAGAGCATTTGAGAAAAAAAAGGGTTTTTTTAATGAGCTCTGTTAAAGCAGAATCAAACATAGCAGCCTAACAGCCCTGAATGAATAACAGAGCTCACAGCTCAGCAATTAAGCCCCTATAAAGTACAAACTGTCTCCTCAAGCAGCTCCCTGACCCCTCTCTATCCAAAAGACTGACATTAGGCAGGCATCATCCTGGGACAAAGATAGCAGAAAAAGAAACTGGTAGCATCCCTCGCTGTGCCACAGCTGCTAGAGGTGCACCCCAGACAAGCAGGGTCTGGAGCGGACCTCAGCAGTCGTACAGCGAAGGGGCTAGACTGGTAGAAGGAAAACCAAGCAACAGAAATACTTCATCATCAACATTCAGGGTGTCCACTCAGAGACCCAATCGAAAAGTCAGCAACTACGCAGACGACCAGCGGACAAATCCACAAAGATGGGAAGAAACCAACGCAAAAAGGAGGAAAACACCCGAAACCAGAACACCTCGCCTCCTAGAAAGGACCAAAACTCCTCACCAGCAAGGAAACAAAGCTGGACGGAGAATGACTGTGACGAAATGACGGAATTAGACTTCAGAAGATGGATAATGAGAAACTTTGGTGAGCTAAAAGATCATGTATTAAATCAATGCAAAGAAACTAAGAACCTTGAGAAAAGATTTGAAAAAAGATTTGAGGAAATGATAACAAGAATGGATAACTTAGAGAGGAATATGAATGAATTAAAGGAGCTGAGAAACACAATATGAGAACTTCACGAAGCATGCACAAATTTCAATAGCCGAATTGACCAAGCAGAAGAAAGAATATCTGAAGTCAAAGACCAACTCAATGAAATAAAACGAGAAACCAAGATTAGAGAAAAAAGCGCAAAAAGGAATGAACAAAGTCTCCAAGAAATGTGGGACTATGTGAAAAGACCTAACCTACGTTTGATAGGTGTACCAGAAGGGGATGAAGAGAATGAATCCAAGCTGGAAAATACTCTTCAGGACATCATCCAGGACAATTTCCCCCACCTAGCAAGACAGGCCAACACTCAATTGCAGGAAATTCAGAGACCACCACAAAGATATTCCGCAAGAAGAGCAACCCCAAGGCACATAATCG